GGAGCAGCGGGGGCTGTGGCTGGGGGGCAGCTGCTGGGACTGGGACCGTGGTGTTATATTTGGGACCGTGCTCCTGGGAGCAGCTGGGGCTGCCGCTGCTAGTGCCAGGACCACAGTTGGGGCCATGGTGCTATTTTTAGTACCACGGCTCAGGCTCCAGCTCCCAGCTGCTGTGTGGTGGCTGCCCAGCTGTTCCTGAGGTGGGAAGGCCACATGGCTCCATCCCCAGGGACAGCTGGGGCCGTGGCTGCGTGGCTCTGTGGGACCGTGCTCCTGGGAGCAGCTGGGGCTGCCGCTGCTAGTGCCAGGACCACAGTTGGGGCCATGGTGCTATTTTTAGTACCACGGCTCAGGCTCCAGCTCCCAGCTGCTGTGTGGTGGCTGCCCAGCTGTTCCTGAGGTGGGAAGGCCACATGGCTCCATCCCCAGGGACAGCTGGGGCCGTGGCTGCGTGGCTCTGCTGAGGCGGCAGGCAGGACTGAAATATTTAGTGCGCGCCCACACAGATGCGTACCTTAGAGGGAACCCAGCTCGAGATAGGAAACGTGTATGTGCAAAAATGAGCCGCGGATCGCCACACCCGCGGGTTTGCAGAGCTCTAGCGATCTACTCATGCTAGTGCAGCGAGCTGACCTAGCAACTCGTGGGTCTGGACAGAACCAGTGGCTGTCCCGTGGTCCCGCGTGGGCAGAGCGCTCAAGGGCCGCCTCCTGTTCTGGCTACGCTCTGAAGGAGCTCGGGGGTGATGTGCTCTGAGCAGGAGAGGCGCGGTCAGCGGACTAAGCTGTCCCTGCTCTGGTGTGCGATGGGGAGGGGAGGCGCAGGGAGGGCAGGTAGGAAGTCACTAGCTGCCCAATTCCATCCCAGTCGCTTTCTCTCCAGCCCTAGCAGGAGAGCGGACTTGACGGAATGAAAAGGGGTCTCTTCCAGCGCTGTCTGCTGGGCCCCTGAGCTGCTGACTTGAGAGTGGAAGGGGGCAAGGCGGGACGAGGATTGGGGGCAGAGGTGACCTCCCCTGCTCTCTCCCTCGCAGGAAGAGAGGGAGAAGCGCCGGCTGGAGCAGCTGGAGCGCAAGAAGGAGATGCAGCGTCTGCTGGAGGAGGAAGATTCCAAGCTGAAAGGAAAGTCGCCTAAACCGCTCCCCCCCGGCAAGATCACCCGGGCGCAGATCGAGGAGACCCTCAGGAAAGACCAGCAACAGAAGGAGAACGGCGACGAAGGTTTGCTGCTTCCCCGTCCTCGTGCTGCTGAACGGGCCCTCGCACGAGGGTTTGGGGGGCCTTGTGGGTGGGGCCTGGCTCGCACGAGGGTGTGGGGGGGCCTTGCGGGTTGCCCGAGGGTTTGGGGGCCCTTGTGGGTGGGGCCTGGCTCGCATGAGGGTTTGGGGGGCCTTGCAGGTCACCTGAGGGTTCGGGGGGCATTGTGGGTGGGGCCTGGCTCACACAAGAGTTTGGGGGGCCTTGTGGGTCACCCGAGGGTTTGGGGGGACCTTGCGGGTGGGGCCTGGCTCACACGAGAGTTTGGGGGGCCTTGCAGGTGGGGCGCTGTGGCTCCAGAGCAAGCCGTGTGGGTCTCTTTGGCAAAGTGTGTGTGTGTGTGGGTGGGGGGGTCCCAGGGCCAGAGAGCCCCTCGCCCCCGTGTCCCGGTGAGGCACCCTAGTGGCATCCCTGCGGGGTCCCCCAGCTTCTGTGTCTGTGACGAGGAGAGCGGAGGGGTTACGCTAGCAGGAGTTAAACTTGCAGTTCACTTGCCGGGATCCAGATGGTCTGTGGGGTGGCCCTACAGGACCTGGCCAAAGAAATACACCTGCCGGGACCTGCCTGCACCTCCCAAAGGCGTCCCCTGGCTCAGGGTGGGTTTATCGTTTCTCTTCTCGTTCCAGTGGAGAAGCAGAAGAGTCACCTCGATGTTCCTCTGGAGGAAAACATCAACCGGCGAGTGCTGGAGGAAGGCACGGTGGAAGCCAGAACCATTGAAGACGCGATTGCAGTGCTCAGGTACGGGGCCGTGGCGTCGGGGGCTTCCCTAGACATTCCCCGGAAGCAGCCCTGCCTTGGAGGCAGGA